GGGGCCGCTGAAGTAGAGCGGTGGGGCCCATTGAGGCAGAGCGGCGGGGCCGCAGCAGACGGGCGGCAGGGCCGCTGAAGTTGGGCGGCGGGGCCGCTGAATTGGGGCGGCGGGGCCGCTGATGTAGGGCGGCGGGGCCCGTTGAAGTAGGGCGGCGGGGCCGCAGGTATAGGGCGGCGGGGCCGCAGCAGATGGGCGGCGGGGCCGCTGAAGTAGGGCGGCGGGGCCGCAGAAGTAGGGCGGCGAGGCCCGTTGAACTAGGGCGCCGAGGCCGCTGAGTAGGGCGGCGGGGCCGCAGGTGTAGGGCGGCGGGGCCGCTGAGTAGGGCGCCGGGGCCGCAGGCGTAGGGCGGCGGGGCCGCAGGCGTAGGGCGGCGGGGCCGCAAAGCAGGGCGGCGGGGCCGCAGGAGCAGGGCGGCGGGGCCGCTGAGTAAGGCGGCGAGGCCGCGAAGTAGGGCAGGGGGGCCGCAGGAGAAGGGCGGCGGGGTCGCGAACGCGGGCGGCGGGGCCGTGAAGCGAGCGGCGGGGCCGCACTAGTAGGTGGCGTGGCCGAACGAACAGGTGGCGGGGCCGCTAGGGGAGGGAGGGCCGCTAGGGCGTAGGGGCCGCTAGGGCGGCTCGCCGAGGTAAGAGCCCAAGGCGCGACTCGGGAGGAGCGCGCTTCGGGCAGGAAAAAAAAAAAATCGATGTGGTGGGCCCTAGGCACAGTTCCCACGGGGGAACCTGCTCGATACCATGAGAAAAGTTGAACGAGAATGAATGAACTATGAATGGAAGTGATACAAATATGCAACCCTAGAAATGTGTACCCCATATAGGCTACCCCACTATAGCCTACACAATATTATGACTTGACAGCGGACGCTTCTTGGGCTGACGACCAGGCTACGCAGCTGTCGTCACAGGGTTACACCTTCAGTCTTGGTTCCGGCTCTGTTTCGTGGCGGGCTACTCGCTCGTCTTCTGTTCTCGGCTCCAGTTGTGAGGCTTAGATCTATGCCGGGGCCATGGCTGCACAAGAGCTTCGCTGGCTCACCTACCTGCTGACTGACCTTGGAGAGCTGCCTCGTTCTCCTCCAGTGCTGTAAGTAGACAATAAGGCCATGCTGGCCTTGTGTCGAGAGCAGCGCCTGGAGCACAGAACGAAGCACATTGCTCTCCGCTACTTTCTTGCTCGTGAGCTGCAGCAGCGTGGTCAGTTGCGACTTGCGTACGTGGCCTCTGAGGCCAACACTGCTGATGTTTTCACCAAGGCACTTCCGCCTTGTGATCATCAGCGCTTCTGCACTCAGCTGGGTCTTGTACCTGTCTTGCCTCACTTGCTCACCTCTTGATCTTGCTTGTCCTCTTACATATATATATACCTGCTCTTGCTTGTTTAGCCTTATATATATATATATATATATATATATATATATATATATATATATATATATATATATATATATATATATATATATATATATATATATATATATATATATATATGTATGTGCACTCCTGCATGCGAACTGGCCTTGTGGCCTTGACCTTGCGCTCGGACTGTGTGGTGACGTTGTGATCCACCCTGAGCTTTGCTTTGCTTTGCTTGACTGGTCTTGTGACCCCTTGTTCTCCCCCACTTTGCCTATAGGGGTGTGTCAAGTTATAATATTATGTAGGCTATAGTGGGGTAGCCTATATGGGGTACACATTTCTAGGGTTGCATATTTGTATCGCTTCCATTTATAGTTCATTCATTCTCGTTCTACTTTCCTCAATTCTAGCACTTGCAAATAAATAAATAAAATTCCCGTAGCGAACCTACATATCAGGCCCTACGAAGTCAGACTTTTTCTCTGATTTGCACATAAAACTCTGATATTTCAGATTTTTTTTCCAGTGTACTCTGTCAAAATCAGTTTTGGGCCCAAACACTGTAATTTTCATACTTTTTTTAAGGCTAGGGTTTGAGAGTTCAGAGTTTTCTGAGAGTGTACTCTGATCATTCAGAGTACAAACGCGTCCTTGACTGGTGATTCAGACTTACGGGTCACAACAGATTCGCAATGTCAACGCAAAATCGCCTTCACACAGCAAATCCGAGCCTTAGAGCACAAGATTTTCGCCTAATCGTATCAAAATCGTCCTGACACAACAGATTTGTGTGAGAGTAGTAGGTATAGTGAGGAGCCATAGCTAGGGTTTACCTAGCTAGGCAAGAGAGAATTAGGCAAAAGAGGAGGGTTCACTAGCAGGAATGAGGATACAAATAGCAAACCCTAAAAGGGTTGTACTCGCTATAGAATACCCCACTACAGGCTAGAGCATAACATTCTGACACACCCCCATAGCCAAAGTGGGGTGTAATCAGCAGAGCAAACAAAGCAGAACAAGCTCTGGGTGGATCACAATGTCACCACCCATTCTGAGCACAAGTTCAAGAAGCAACAGTTTAAAGTTCACAAGTGTAAGCAAAGCTAGAGGCTATCGCAGAGGGCAAGTGAGGAGGAGGAGGCGAGACTGTAAGAGGAGAGGAGATAGGAGGCGACGACTGAAGCTGCAAATACACGGGCAACAGGAGGCACACTGGCACAGCGGCTACCGGAACAACGCTCCGGACTACTGGAGTAACTGGCCCCGCGGCCAAAAGTAGCGGCAGACGAGCAACGGACCCACGGGCGACTGGCACAGGTGGCTGCGACTGGGCTACCGGAGCAACTCCTCGGACTACAGGTGCTGCTGGCGACACGACGCCAACCTCCGTTCAACTTCCCCAAATAGTCCCAACCCCCTTTGAGACGCACCCCCTGCTTCACCCCTAGCTCCACTCCCACGTCACCCCCCTAGCACCACTCCTTCGGCTCCCACACACCCACCCCCCTCAGCGGCAGCTGCAGTAGTGGGAGACAGAGGTGGAGGAGGAGCAGGTGACGGCTCACACACCCGCCACCCCCATACCCGTCACCCCCATACCCTGAGTGTGCGGTAAGCGAGCTCAGGTGTGCGCGAATCGTGCACAAGTGTGCGGGAAGCGAACTCAGGTGTGCGGTAAGCAAACTCAGGTGCGCCAGGGAGGGGGGGGGGGCGCAGGGCGACGTGTGGGTCGACAGGGACGAGCGCATGGGTCCCCGGGGGCGGCGCGCGTGTCGACGGGGCCGCCGCGAAGGGCGACGCGGATCCGCGCGCGGGTTGACGGGGCTGCCGCGAAGGGCGACGGGGAGCCGCGGGTGGGTCGACGGGGCCGCCGCGAAGGGCGACGGGGAGCCGCGCGAAGGTCTACGGGGACGGGCGCGCGGGTCGACGGAAACCGCCACGCGTCCCGAGCGCATGGCGGGCAGAAAACCGCCACGCGCCACGAGCGCGCGGCGGGATGAAAAAAGTGTCGCGCGCCCGGGGCACGCGACCAGCAGAACAGTAGCAGCGGAAGCAGTAGGCAGGCACAGGCCATGAGCGTAACAGCTCTGATTCCATGTGAGAGTAGTAGGTATAATGAGGAGCCATAGCTAGGGTTTACGTATCTAGGCAAGAGAGAATTAGGCAAAAGAGGAGGGTTCACTAGTAGCAATGAGGATACAAATAGCAAACCCTAGAAGGGTTGTACTCGCTATAGAGCACCCCACTACAGGCTAGAGCATAACATTCTGACAATTTGCGCTGTCAGAGCACAACAATTTTCGACCAATCACAGAAAACTCGCCCTGACATTGCAAATTCGCTCTTTCGCACTACAAGATTCGCCATGACACATATTCCCCATGTCAGAGCATGTTTTATCGGAAATCCCCTTAGTGTTGTGTGTTTCGGTAGCAGATGAATGAAACATTGATTACATTCCGATGAAACATTGAATACATTATTTTTGAATGATCAGACTTTTTTTAGGACACTCGGAAATTTCAGCCTTTTTTTATACCAACTCTGAGTTTTTCAGACTAGAATTGTGCACTAGTCTGACGAATCAGACACGCCAAAAATGAATCTGAGCGCCTGCTACATATGACCTCCGCGAAGGATCAACCCTAAATACCGAAAGCCTCCCAATATTTTGGAAAACATATTACAACCCACTTGACCAAAAAAAAAATACCCACCTCGGAAAGGGATGCGACTCGGAAGTCATCAACCCTAAAAACAATGTTCATTCCCGTGTTTAGGATTGATCCCTCTCGAAAATGCATCCAGGTTATTTAGGGGTTTTATTTTTTTCTGCCATGCCCGAATAGGTCTCGGTAGCGTCGTCTAGTGCTTTCGGTAGCGTTGTTTAGCAGTCGGTTGCGCTACTGAGCACTACCAAGTGAATTATATGGGCTTCTTTCTCTTGCTACCTTAATTCCCGTACATATATCCAAGTCGGGAGGGTAAACTGGATGGTTTTGTTTTTGTCACTTCCTAATGAGTTGGACCAGCGTGAGAAATGTGACTAAAAAGCGATGACCAATGAACGTTGAGAAAGTCCAGGTTGATTACACCTGAGAACGCGCTCAGGAAAATCTGAGAACCGGAGATAATGGCCACAGCAGATTTGCATTTTCGATGCAAAATCGCTCGACACATCAATTCCGCGCCTTACAGCACAAAACTTCGCCCAATCACAGCAAAATCGCCCTGACACCACAGATTTGCGCCGTCAGAGCACAACTACTTCGTCCAATCACAAAACAATTCCACCTGACATAGCAAATTCGCCCTTTCACACCACAAGATTTGCCCTGACACCCCCTCAGAGCATGTTCTCCCTGAAATCCCCTTAGTCTTGCACGTTTCGGTATCAGACGAATGAAATATTAAATACATTTTCTGATGAAACATTGAATATGTTGATTTCGAATGTTCAGACTTTTATTTAAAGACTCTGAAATTTCAGCTTTGTTTTTATGCCAACTCTGAGAGTTTCAGACTAAAACTGTGTACTAGTATGACGAATCAGACAGGCCAAAAACGAATCTGAGGGCCTGGGTAGGGCCTAACTGATGCATCAGGTGGGCGTAACAAATCCTACCAAGGACGTTGACGCCCGTTTTACATGAGAGAGCAGTCAGCAGGGAGGTCCCCTCCTTGCAGCATGTCAGGCAGCCTGCACCACACCAGAGCACGAGGGTGTGATTCCAAGGAGGATGAAGCAGGGCCTTTTGTGATCCAGACCAGATGAAAAGAGGGATGCGATGCATTGACAACAGATAAGCTGGGTGTGGTCTTCCCTCAGAGCAGCCAATATGGCGGACGTCCCTCATACCAGTACGTGCTGCGATCCGCACCACACGCATGTGACCCCAAGAGAATAGCACCACGAGGGTGTGAACCCAAGAGAACAGAAAGACGAGGGCAGCCAGACAGAAGCAAAGTGGCAAGGATGAAGTGCGGGAGCGTGAAAGAGGCAGGCGAATCCAATGCAAAAGAGGACCGAGTGTAAAACCGAGTGAAAAGCAAAAGAGCTAGCGGCACTCACACAGGCAGGCCGTCTGCCCCCATCTCCAGCCCCGGAGCGATCTCCTTGATCATCTCGGGCGGCGGCTGCCCGCACGCCTGCATGTCGCCCATCACGGCCATGATCGCCTCAAAGTCGCCCGGCCGCTCCTCATACAGCGCGCACAGCCGCCCGATGGCGCGCTGCTGCCGCTCGTACCGCGCTAGGTCATCGGGCGGCAGGGTGGCGGCGTTGGCGGCGAGCCAGGCGGGGTAGCGCGCGTGGAGGTCCCTCATTGGCCCGTGCAGCACGTCCTTTGAGAGCAGCTGCTGCATCACCGCGTCCATCAGCCCCGCCATGTCCTGCACAGAGGGGGGGGCGCACAGAGGGGGGGCGCACAGAGGGGGGGCGCACAGAGGGGGGGCGCACAGAGGGGGGGCGCACAGAGGGTGGCACAGAGGGTGGCACAGAGGGTGGCACAGAGAGGGTGGCGCGGGGGGCGGGTAGGGAGCAGGCACAAGGGAGGAGGGGCCACACCACATGCACGAGGTGGCTCATGAGCCCCATGAGTCATGACTGGCGCATCCATGAGGCCCTTCATGTCCTGTGTCACGAGGACGCTGAGGGGGAGGGGAGGACATTGAGGGGGAGGGGAGGACATTGAGGGGGAGGGGAGGACATTGAGGGGGAGGGGAGGACATTGAGGGGGAAAGGAGGACAATGTGCGTGCCCATGTCACCACGCACCTGTGTGCCCATGTCTTCGAACTGTTTCACCAGTCGCTCCACCACTGCCTCATCCAACTCCTCCCCTTCCCCTCCCAACCCCTCCAAACCCCCCAGCCCGCCCAGCCCTGGCAAGCCCGCCCCTAGCCCTGCAGGCACCCCCCCCGCTGCTCCTGCCCTCCCCCTTGCCGCATCGTCCCCCTCCCCAATGCCACTGACGGTGCGCTGTGTCTGCTGCTGCAGCTGCTCCAACGTCGATGATATCCCCCCGCCGCCGCTGCTGCTGCCCCCTCTCCCACTTGCACTCCTGCCACCACTACCACTGTTACTTGTCTTACCACCGCCGCCAGCAGCAGCGGCCTTGGCCGTGCCCGTGCCTGCGGGGGCGTTTTTCTTCTTCCTCGCTGGCAGTGACGGCAGCCCCCCTCCCAGCCCCAGCCCCACCGGCGTTGCCCCCCCTGCTGCGGGCGCTGCTGTGAGGCCCGCTGTGCGTGCGCCTGTGCCTGGCGCTGCGGGGCCTGACCCCGCGTGTGCCTCCTCGCGGGCGAGCCCTGCTGCTGCTGGCGCGTCGGGGGAGAGTGGCGCGGCAGGCGACGCCGCAGCAGGCAGTGGGGGCGTTGGTGTGTGGGATGCGGGGCCAGCGGCGCTGCTGCTGCTGCTGCTGCTGGTGGCGGCAGCAGTGGCGGCGGGCGCAGGTGCAGGTGGGTCTTGGCGGAAGTCCTCCAATGCACCTGGTCACGGGCCATGCGCGCACGGGCGCGCGATAGGCGGGGCGGAGGTTGGAAAGGGGGGAAGGGGAGGAGGAGAGGAGAAGGAGCGGAGGGGGGAGGGGGGAAGTGGGGAAGGGAGGAGGGGGGAAGAGCGGAGGAGGTGAGCGGGGGAGTGGGGGTGGGAAGAGGGAGGGAGGGAGGGAGGGAGGGAGGGAGGGAGGGAGGGAGGGAGGGAGGGAGGGAGGGAGGGAGGGAGGGAGGGAGGGAGGGAGGGAGGGAGGGAGGGAGGGAGGGAGGGAGGGAGGGAAAGGGGAGGGAGGGAGGGGGGGGGGGGGAAAGGGGAGGGAGGGAGGAACGCACGCGGGTGAGAAATAGAGGAGAAACGGCGCTAATAGGCACGAGGGGGGAGGGTAGGAGGAAGGGTGACGGAAGTGGAGAGAAATGACGAAGCGGCGGCGATGGAGGGGGGGCTGAATGCATCGTGGTCGCTCTTTGAGGCGCCCGAAACGGGGGCGTGCACGACACGTTTCATCCGAGCGCTCGCGCCCATGCCTGCCCACACGAGCCCATGCATGCCCACACGAGCCCATGCATGCCCGCACGAGCCCATGCATGCCCGCACAAGCCCATGCATGCCCGCACGAGCCCCAACGAGCCACGCATGCATGAATGGACCGACACGGACTGTACGTGCTTAGCAGACTCGGGGCACATGGCTTCCTAATCGTCACTGATCGGCATGCTGTCGAGGCTGACAAACGGATCCAATATATTACCGAGACCGCTACTAGCGCGTTCAACGTACTATCGAGAAGATCGTCCAAGTCGTCCACCGACGAGTCCATGCGGCTCCAACGAGGCGACTGGCGGTGACCGGCAGACGCAGCGCAAACCGAACGGCGGTGAACGGCGTCGGCTTTAAGCGGATGCGAGGACCAACGCACGGAGGTTCGGCCGAACGCAAAGCGAGAATAGGGACTCGTCTGGTTTCGCGTGGAGTTTCTCTGAGCGAGGTATCTCCGCCTGCAATTACAATTGAGCTTTTTCGACTCCTTGTGTCGGGCAACGGGTCGGAAAAAACACAGTCTGGGACGGCGATCGCGGTGCTGCTTAGTATGGATGGGAGGAATAGGACTGCTGTAATTTGAATCGAAGTGGTTGAAAGAAGCAAAACTAGCCATATTGAATGTTCCAGATGCTTGCTAGAGGCGAAGGCCTTGTTCTTTAGGTGGACAATTTCCAGCATCTGGTTTCGCACAGTGAGATTGATAACTGATCAATTGCTTATCTAGGTTTGGTGATAAGCGCGTGGATGCCAAACCTACTTGCGCCAAATTTGACGCTTATGCCTGCAGAACACCACTTGTGACCCGCACAAATTTGACCGTGTGCTGGTTCGAAGCAATCGCTTCGCCTGGCAAACGGTCGCACAACTAGTGCGGGGCTGATTCAACCTCCAGGGCAAGCATCAGCCAGCGCACAAGTTATGCGGGCCTTTGGATTGCGGAAATGCATTGGATATGCGGGGCTTAGTAGCAACATCGAGGGTGACAATTTTGATTGGATGCCACACAAATTTTCTAGGAAAGAGTGTCCCGGACATTCTTGCTTACAGAACAAGGCCGAACTTGCTCCTACACTCCACGCTCAACGTCCAGCAATTCGCGTGGCGATTTCCCAAGCGAGACGAAGAGCACTGATTGTTCGCAATCGTGATGTGGGCAAGATTCTTTTGCCGTTGCGAAATGCGTGGGACTGACACGAGTGCATGCTCGAATCAGGTAACTTGACCCTGCTCCCATCCCAAACCTCTTCGCTCAAGGTCGTACAAGACGTTAGGGCCATTCTTGCCTCGTGCCTGACATGAGGTCAGACCCGAAGTGAATTGTCGGAAGACCCGAAGTGCCCTGGAACTCTAGCAATTCAATGCTCGGAACAGTTTTTTTAAAATTTAACGCCTACAGAACAGCGCCTCTGTTTTCACTCAATCTCAGTAGCTCCGATCACACAGCAGCAGCTTCCATGGGTTTATTGCGTAGTCACTTCAGCCAGCGAGCCGCAAGTAGCAAGCACGCTTCTCTCGATCAATCCACTCACGACCGTAGCGACGCCGCTGACGGTCGGCTCGTCTGTTGGCTTCCGTAGCTCCGCACCCAGCGTTCTAACTCCCAGTTACTACCTCCCTCTCCCCGTTCTCGAGCAATCATCACGCAGCGCCGCGTCTATTTGCCTACAAGTCTGGGAGGCAAGGTCCGTTAAGGAACCCAATTCGTCGTCAAACGTTAAACATGTTGTCAAAGCTTGACAGCTCGTGAGGCGTGAAGTCCGGCCTCGTGAACGGCTCGTGAGGCCTTAAGGGTTCCACACTTCGACATGATCTCCTCTGCCCCTACCTGTGGCGAGTGAGAGGAGGGGCCTCGCATCGAACTCGCAGGATCATTCTTCATGCATGCTGAGATGAAGGAGGGCGGGGCCACGCACTGGGAGGGTGGACGAGAGGGGCGAGAGGCAGGAGCGGAGGGAGAGGAGGCAGAGTGGTGGGAGGTGGAGGTATGCTTGGACGTGGGGTCGCCGTACAGCCACGTGGCGCTCGAGATCCTCCTCAGGTCCCCTCCCTCCCTCTCCCTCCTCCCCTCTCCTTCTCTCCCTTTCTGAGTCAACCCTCGGTCTGATGGGCTCTTTCCATTCCTCGCCTCGCCCGTGCAAAGCTAGTTGGTTGTTGAGACCTCGCTGCCTTGGACATGCGCCCATCCACACAGCAGCACACTGAGCGAGCGACGTGCTGTGACGGGTTTCGCCATCTCCTCGCCCCGCGCGCCACTCTGTCCCCTCGTCCTCATGCATGCGGCAGGTACCGCCATGTGTGGAACGTGCCACTGCTGCTGCGCCCGGTGCTGCTGGCTTTTGAAACCACAAGTTGATTTCGGCGCCCACTCCTCCCTCTTCCCTCATGCCTCGTCCCTCGTCCCCGCCCTCCCCATGCGTGTGTGCAGGTACCGCCATGTGTGGAACGTGCGACTGCTGCTGCGGCCGGTGCTGCTGGGCGCCATCCTCCGCGCCACAGGCAACGCCATGCCCTCTGCCGTGCCCGCCCGCGGTGAGTCACTGGCAGAGGTGAGTGACAGGCAGAGGTGAGTGACAGGCAGAGGTGAGTGACAGGCAGAGGTGAGTGACAGGCAGAGGTGAGTGCCAGGCAGAGGTGAGTGCCAGGCAGAGGTGGGTGACAGGCGGAGGTGGGCAGCGCTGCGCTCTGGATTCAGAGATTCTCACAGGAGGTAGATTTCAACTGAGAGCGCAACACCCACAAGCAGCTCAACACCCACAAGCAGCTCAACACCCACAAGCAGCTCAACACCCACAAGCAGCTCAACACCCACAAGCAGCTCAACACCCACAAGCAGCTACACACCCACAAGCAGCTCAACACCCACAAGCAGCTCAACACCCACAAGCAGCTCAACACCCACAAGCAGCTCAACACCCACAAGCAGCTCAACACCCACAAGCAGCTCAACACCCACAAGCAGCTCAACACCCACAAGCAGCTCAACACCCACAAGCAGCTCAACACCCACAAGCAGCTCAACACCCACAAGCAGCTCAACACCCACAAGCAGCTCAACACCCACAAGCAGCTCAACACCCACAAGCAGCTCAACACCCACAAGCAGCTCAACACCCACAAGCAGCTCAACACCCACAAGCAGCTCAACACCCACAAGCAGCTCAACACCCACAAGCAGCTCAACACCCACAAGCAGCTCAACACCCACAAGCAGCTCAACACCCACAAGCAGCTCAACACCCACAAGCAGCTCAACACCCACAAGCAGCTCAACACCCACAAGCAGCTCAACACCCACAAGCAGCTCAACACCCACAAGCAGCTACACACCCACAAGCAGCTCAACACCCACAAGCAGCTCAACACCCACAAGCAGCTCAACACCCACAAGCAGCTCAACACCCACAAGCAGCTCAACACCCACAAGCAGCTCAACACCCACAAGCAGCTCAACACCCACCATTCTACTGCACCCCACCCCACCGTCTGCAAGCCATCACTCGCACTGCACCCTGCCTGCCCACGCGCACCTCCCCTCCACCCCTCCTTCCTCTCTCCCCTCGCTCTTCCTTTTCTCCAGTCCCCCGACCTCCCCCTTCTCCAGTCCCCCGACCTCCCCCTTCTCCAGTCCCCCGACCTCCCCCTTCTCCCCCCTTCCTTCCTACCCCCCTTCGCCTCCCGTACTCCCTCCCCTCCCCTCCCCTCCCCTCCCCTCCCTCCCCCCCACCAGGCGCGGGGCTACAGCAGGGCATGGCGGGCACAGCAGCCGTGGCCCGCCAGTAGCCGTGGCCTGCACAGTGCGTGCGGGCCAACACTTGCTCGCTCGCCAACACTTGCTCGCTCGCCAACACTTGCTCGCTCGCCAACACTTGCTCGCTCGCCAACACTTGCTCGCTCGCCAACACTTGCTCGCTCGCCAACACTTGCTCGCTCGCCAACACTTGCTCGCTCGCCAACACTTGCTCGCTCGCCAACACTTGCTCGCTCGCCAACACTTGCTCGCTCGCCAACACTTGCTCGCTCGCCAACACTTGCTCGCTCGCCAACACTTGCTCGCTCGCCAACACTTGCTCGCTCGCCAACACTTGCTCGCTCGCCAACACTTGCTCGCTCGCCAACACTTGCTCGCTCGCCAACACTTGCTCGCTCGCCAACACTTGCTCGCTCGCCAACACTTGCTCGCTCGCCAACACTTGCTCGCTCGCCAACACTTGCTCGCTCGCCAACACTTGCTCGCTCGCCAACACTTGCTCGCTCGCCAACACTTGCTCGCTCGCCAACACTTGCTCGCTCGCCAACACTTGCTCGCTCGCCAACACTTGCTCGCTCGCCAACACTTGCTCGCTCGCCAACACTTGCTCGCTCTCCAACACTTGCTCGCTCTCCAACACTTGCTCGCTCTCCAACACAACACTTGCTCGCTCGCCAACACTTGCTCGCTCTCCAACACTTGCTCGCTCTCCAACCCCCAGATTTCATCCGCCTCTCCCATCCCTTCCCTGTCCCCCCCTATTTCACCCACCAGCCACAGGTACAGCAGGACATCACACGCACAGCAGCCTTTGTCGATCTGCCTGCCTGCCTCCTCACGGCCTCACACTGTGCCTCCCCCCCCCTTCCCTCCCCCACACCAGGAGCGTGGTTACAGCACGACATGGAGCGCACAGCAGCGTTCGCCCGCCTGCCGCGCCTCTCCCCCCCACCGGGCTTCGGCTCACCGCGCTTCTCCACGCTGCGCTGCCAGCGCCTGCTCACCGCCCTCGCGCTGCAACAGGTACCCTCGCCTGCAACAGGTGCCCTTGCGCTGCAACAGGTGCCCTTGCGCTGCAACAGGTGCCCTCGCGCTGCAACAGGTGCCCTCGCGCTGCAACAGGTGCCCTTGCGCTGCAACAGGTGCCCTCACGCTGCAACAGGTGCCCTTGCGCTGCAACAGGTGCCCTCGCGCTGCAACAGGTGCCCTCGCGCTGCAACAGGTGCCCTGTCGCTGCAACAGGTGCCCTTGTGCTGCAACAGGTGCCCTTGCGCTGCAACAGGTGCCCTTGCGCTGCAACAGGTGCCCTTGCGCTGCAACAGGTGCCGTGTCGCTTGCTGCTCGCTCCCCCCTGCACCTTCCACTGCTTGCCTGCTCCCTCTCGCCCGCCATTTCACCCCCATTTCCAGTCTCCCACTACCTCCGCACTGTGTTTCCAACATGCCATGCAATGCCTGGCCTTTCCTTTGTTCCGAATTGCTTCTGCATGCTATCTGCTGTGATAAGCCTGAGTCTCTTGTGAAAAAGGCTCTCAAGCGTCCCACTTGGCCCCCACATGCGCCTGCTGTGGATTGTGCTGTGCGTCCCTGCCTGTGGATTGTGCTGTGCGTCCCTGCCTGCCCATCTTCAACACCATAACCTTTCTGCGCACTCAACTATTTCCAACGTGCTTCAATGTATGTGCCATCATGACATGCCACCCCGCCATGCCATCCCCCCATGCCATGCTGCCATGCCGTGCCATGCCATGCCATATCATGCCGCCATGCCACCATGTGTCAGCAGGGCTATGACTCGCCGCAGCTGCTCGCCCTCACACGCGCACTCTTCAAAGCCATCTGGACCGCTCCTCCTCCCCATCGCCCTCCTCCTTCTGCCCACCCCACCTCAACCACCACGCATACCGTCCCCATTGCTCCCGCCTCCGCCTCCTCCTCCTCCTCCTCCTCTTCCTCCACATCGGATATCTCACCCCCATCGCGCGCCGACATCGCAGCACCGGCGTTTCTGCGCCACGCATGCAGCCAGGCTAGCATCCTGCCCGCCCACCAGGATGCGCTGCTGGCTGCTGCTGCCACACCTGCCGTCAAACAGGCGCTTACTGTGAGTTGAGCCGTGAGTTGAGCCGTGAGTTGAGCCGTGAGTTGAGCCGTGAGTTGAGCCTTGAGTTGAGCCGTGAGTTGAGCCGTGAGTTGAGCCGTGAGTTGAGCCGTGAGTTGAGCCGTGAGTTGAGCCATGAGTGCATGCATGCCCATTGTGCTTGTAATTGCCTTACCGCGCTGCCACTAGTCCCACCAGGCCCACCCACGGTCACTCAAGCACCAGGCGTAGTGGCTCAAGCACCAGTAGTGGCTCAAACAGCAATTTTGCGTTGCCTGGTTTCTCTCACAACTACACATGCCACCTTGTACCCCTAGCACCACCTCATCATCCCTATCCCCATGCATGGCCCCTCCATGCCCCCATGCCTGCAGGTGGGCACCCAGGCGGCCATGGAGAGGGTGGGATTCAGCACGCCACTCTCGCTGTCTCACTCTCACCACCTGTACCTCACCCCATACTCTACCCTATACTTCCCAATGCCCCCCAGGCGAGCACACACGCGGCCATACAAGAGGGCGCATTCGGAGTGCCGACACTCTTCATCCGCCCCACCACTCGCGCCCTGCGTCTGCCCACGGGCGCCACGCTTGCCCCCTCCCATCATCTCATGCTCTTCGGCTCCGACCGCTTTGAGCAGCTTGCCTGGCTGCTGGGGCTGCCGTGGCACGGCCCCAACCCCCCGCTAGCAGCGCTCTGAAGCACGCTTTCTACCTGGCATGTAGGGCAGCACTCCAGGGCACATGTTTTAGAACACCGATGTAGAGCAAATATTTGAAGCAGCAGTTTGAAGAACCCATTGTACAGTGGCTTGTAGACTTATACAGAACCATGGATAGCGCCCTCTCCCTTCCCCTCCCACCACCTCACACTCTCAGCCTGCAACCACTTGGCGCACACACACAGGAAAGACCGCCCCAGCATGGGCCTTGGCTGCTGGGCTCTGTCTGGTGGCGCATACTACCTTGTGGCGGCGCACACCACCTTCTGGCGGCGCACACCACCTTGTGGCGTCGCGTGCACGATGCAACGAGCAGCTTGTGGCAGCTCTCTCAGCAGCGCCTCCAATTTAATCCAATCCAATCCATTACAAGGAGCCTGTAGGCCACAACAACCCTATGGGGGGCAACTTCATGGCTGGCCCCCCACCAACCCCGTGCTGCGTCCCTGAGCAGGAACAGTCAACGCGCAGAGTGAAGAGAAGAAGAGAGGCGACACACATGCACGCACAGCGTTCCTCCATGGTGATCATCGCTGGGCACAACTGATGTGTCAGATTGCTTCAAGCAACCGGAGCATTACAGCACAGCACAGAGCATTGTCAAGTTCACCCATCTGTACCCAATAAGGCAAGCCCTGACCGCGGCTTGTACGGTATGGTTCAAAACATGGGGCAACAAGAAACACTTTCCTTTGTAAGCCCCACCCACCCACCCACACACCATACCGGTGGTGTATTCCTCAGAATCTGGATGCATGCCCAATACAGCATCAGCATCAGCATTACCACATTCACGTATCCTTTCCCAAGTTTTTTTCCGGTAAATCTAAACGTGTTTTATGCACCCAAAACTCGGAAACAAAACCCTTGATTACAACCGCCTCCCTAAACGAAGGCCAATACGGTACGACCAGAATTGCAGGCTTCAGAATGCTCGCTGCATGACACGCTTACTTTGAATGAAGCCAAACGAGCAGGGCTGAGGGAGCGAGTGAAGAGGAGCCTGTAAGAGAGAACAAGCACTGAGAGGCTGGGCGATGCCGGGACCAAGGGGTTGCGGAGATGCAGTACGAGGGGGTAGAGATGCAGTACGAGGGGGTAGAGATGCAGTACGAGGGGGTAGAGATGCAGTGAGCGGGAGGAGAAACAGAATGCAGGATAGAGAGGGGGGGAGGCGGGGGGGTGTGAAGATGCAGTGATGGGGGGAAGATGCAATGAGGGGGGAGGGAGAGGGAGGAGATACAGAGAGCAATAACGTCAGAGCAGAGAGTGGGGGAGAGTGCATGGGCTTGAGAAGAGAGCATGGTGCGAGGAGGGGGAGAGGAGAGCAACGATTTGCAAGTGATCTCTGAGACGAGGGTACAGGAATGACAGCGAGTCAAGGCCAAAGAAGTACCGACTTAACAATCTTCTCAACCTGCTCCTCACTCACCCCCCCGCCTCTCTCTCACTCACGCCCCGCCCCTCTCCCACTCACGCCCCCCCTCTCTCCCACTCACGCCCTACCACTCCCCCACTCACGCCCCGCCACACCTTAGCGCCGTGGCCAGTGCTCATCCCTGGATGCAACAGTCCCGCACACGCCCTTCAACAGTCCAGCACACGCCCTTCAACAGTCCAGCACACGCCCCTCAACAGTCCAGCACACGCCCTTCGACAGTCCAGCACACGCCCTTCAACAGTCCAGCACACGCCCTTCACCTCCCTTCGCTCCTAGCACCCTGCCTGCCACGTGCCTCCTCCCGATCCTCCCGCACCCCTCTTCACCGCTTACCCTGCTAGGCTCCCGCCCTCACACCTGCCTGAGCGGCCCTGCCCCCCTCGTCATCACCTCCTCATGCCCTCGCCACCCCAACGCCTCTCCTCGCCACCTCTCGTCATTTCCGTGCCTCGCGTCCATCTGATGCCTCGCGTCCATCTGATGCCTTGCGTCCATCTGATGCCTCGCGTCCATCTGATGCCTCGCGTCCATCTGATGCCTCGCGTCCATCTGATGCCTCGCGTCCATCTGATGCATCGCGTCCATCTGATGCCTCACATCCATCTGATGCCCACCGGGATGCCACCCCCTCGCCGCGCATGTCAATGGAAAATCCCCTTCCACCCATCCCCCTCCCCATTCCCCCACCGTTTCCTCCCCCCCCCCCCCGTGTTTTGGCATGAGTGTGCGCGTCTCACTGAACCATTCGCCATCCATGTGGCTGGCATGCTGTCACTCTGCACGTCCACCTCCCACCATTGCTGCATGCATCCAACATGCGCTCTTCCATCGTCTAGTAGCCTCCTCCCCTCCTACCCTCCTCCCCTCCTTCCCTCCTCCCCTCCTACCCTCCTCCCCTCCTTCCCTCCTCCCCTCCTCCACTCCTTGCCTCCCCTCCTTCCCTCCTCCACTCCTCGCCTCCCCTCCTTCCCTCCTCCACTCCTCCCCTCCTTCCCTCCTCCCCTCCTCCCCTCCTCGCCCCCCCTCTCACCCGTCCAAGCACCCCCTTTTCCGCCTACCTCTGCGCCCACCGTCCCTTGGTGCGCCCCTCGTGCTCCCCATCTCCCACCCGCACGTCTCCCCCGCGCCCTAGCCTCATCAGCCCCACGCGTGTCTCGAATGCTGCCATGCCGCCACGCGCACCTCATACTCCCAACCACTGCTCTCCCCCTCACCTCTTTCTTCCCACCCCCACTCCCCTTCCACCTCTCCCCTTCCACCTCTCCCCTTCCTGTTAAAATGAACGAACAGGAATGAATGAACTAGCAGTGAAAACAGTACAAGTACCTAACCCTAGAATTGTGTACCCCCTATAGGCTAACCCACTGTGGCCTAAACAAGCACAACAACATATATAATGTTTGACACACCCCCATAGGCAAAGTGGGGGAGAACTAGGGGTCACAAGACCAGTCAAGGCAAAGCAAGCTCAGGGTGGATCTCAAGGATACCACACAAATTCGGAGCACGAGCAAGTGGTCACAAGACCAGTTCACATGCAGGTTTATAAAAGAACAAGAGGTACGTGTTAGTAGATCTGCACTGTGGATGCCCGATTGATCCTGGAGAGGGTTACAGGCGCGTTCGCCTGGGGGGTTATGGGCGCACTAACCCACTATTAAAACAAGCCATTTTATCCCAATGGTCTAGTGGTTGGGATTCTGACATGGTATCAGAGAGGTCTCGGGTTTGATTCCCGGTGTATGCACATGTAGGCCGTTGCCGCTGTGCTTAGTCCTGGGCCTCCCATTGTGGGGGGGTCTCAGTAGATCTGCACTGTGGATGCCCGATTGATCCTGGAGAGGGTTACAGGCGCGTTCGCCTAGGGGGTTATGGGCGCACTAACCCGCTATTAAAACAAGCCCTTTTATCCCAATGGTCTAGTGGTTGGGATTCAGACAGTACGATGATCACAGCCTAGCAAGAGTAAACATGCAGGTATATATATATAGAGATCACAGTACAAACAGACTCAAGAAGTAAGCAAGTCAGGTCCAGTGGGCACAAGGCCTAGAAGAGTGCAAAAGCGCTGATGGTCACAAGGCTGAAGCGCCTTGGTGAACACATCACCAGTGTTGGCCTCAGAGGCCACGTAACACAGATGAAGCTGATCACGCTACTGCAGCTCTCGAGCAAGGAAGTAGCGTAGAGCGATGTGCTTCGTTCTGTGCTCCAGTCTGTGCTCCTAACACAAGGCAATGGCTGCCTTGTTGTCGACGTACAGCACTGGAGGAGAACGAGGCCGCTCTCCAAGGTCAGTCAGCAAGTAGGTGAGCCAGCGTAGCTCCTGGGCCGCCATGGCTGTGGCGTAGATCTCAACCTCACAACTGGAGCTGAGAACAGAAGAAGAGCAAGTAGAACGCCAAGAAACTGAACCAGAGCCAAGATTGAAGGTGTAACCCTGAGACGACCGCTGAGTAGCGTGGTCGTCTTCCTAAGAAGCGTCTGAGTGCTCAGTGAGAACAACTGGGACTCGCCCTCCAAGCACTAGCCCCATGCCCGACGTACTGCACAAGTAGCGCAACACCCTCTTAGCTACATCCATGTGCTCCTTCCGGTGACGGCCGGGAGCGACATATTGTGCAAGAATGCTAAGAGGGTATTCAAGGTCAGGTCTAGTGCAGGTCATCAGGTACATGAGGCAACCTACAAGCTCTGGATATGTGCCACTCAACTCTACGTACTCATCCGAAGGCAGAGCTGAGAGCGAGTGACCGGTAGGCAGAGGAGTGGGCTGAGGCGAGAAGTAAGTGAAGCGGAAGCGCTGAAGGACCTGTTGCACCATGTGTGACTGAGTCAAGGTGATGGTGCGGCGTGCTCTGTCCCGGGTGATCCGGAAGCCAAGATAGCTTGTCAATTCACCCAGGTCTGTGCACATGTGTCTCTTTTGCAACCCCGACTTCACGTGGGCGAGTGCCGCAGTGTCAGCAGTGGCAAAGACCAAGTCGTCGATGTACACGAGGATGTAGAATGGCGGCAGTGAGGTGTCGGTGCGTAGAAACAGCGCCGGGTCAGCAGTAGAAGGCGCGAACCCAAGAGCCGCAAGTGTAGTCCTCAGTGTGTCGTGCGACTCACGTGGCGCGTGGCGGAGACCATAGACTGGCCGTCGGAGGCTCCACTGGTACCAGGAGGGAACGACCCAGTGAAGCCAGGTGGGCGGCGCAGCCAGATCTCTTCGTGCAGGTTGCCCTGCAGGGAAGCAGTGCTGGAGTCAAGACAGTGGAGCTCGTAGTCACGTTGAGCGGCGACGTGCAGCAGAACCCAAAGAGTGGTCATCTTCGGGGTCGGAGAGAAGGTCTGGAAGAAGTCAACTCCCTCTCGCTGACTGAAGCCTTGTGCAACGTAACGCGCCTTGAAGACAGGCGGAGAGCCCGGCGGCCGCTTCACCCTGAAAATCCACATGCCACTGACGATGTTCACCCCAGGCGGGGGAACCTCGTTAACGTAGGTGCCTGTGGACTTCCAGGAAGCCATCTCCGTGTCCATGGGTGACTGCCACTGAGAGGAGTAGGGACCGGCCATCGCCTCTGCGTAAGAGCGTGGGGTCGGGATGTCTAGTGCATCCGGGTCTCCCTCAGGGGCAAGAAGCATGGACACGAGATGGGGCAAAGCGGTAGCAAAGCACTCAAACTCCTGATGCCTGTCCTCAAGGACGTCAGTGCCAAGAGCACACTCACCCCCGACGGACGGAGGACAGACAGACTCAGACTCAGCAACTAGGCTAGCGGTGTAGTCTGGACGACAGGTGACAGCAAAGTCCACAAGCTCAGCAATTAAGGCAGACGCAGCAACAGACTCAAAGGAAGGGTCAGTGACAACAGTAGCCAGGAGACGCGTGACAGTAGGACTGGCAGCACGAAGAGAGTCTGACCCCGGGTCAGCAAGAGCAGGAAGAGAGTACGCAAGAGGAGACGGTAGTGGGACACGCTGTGGAGCAGTGGAGGGACGAAGCGCCATGCGGTGAGTGCTTGGGACAGCAGGAAGACGCTGACGCGGGACACGACTACCAGTGAGAGCAGCACGAACAGGCGACGCACGACGAGACTCAAGCGACGCAGGACGAGACTCAGGCTCACGACGCTCAGTAAGACCTCTAGTCGGACCAGTGTTAGGGGCAGGACCAGGGAGAGAGGAGGCAGACGGTAGCTTCGACTGCAGCTGGACAGACGGAGGACACCCTAAGGAGGGAGAAGGACAAGAAGGAGGGAGCTAACCAAGAACCTGCTGACGCAGCGGAACGAAGTTCGGCCGTGACCGTGCAGCGACTCCAGACTCAGGGTTCTCAGCAACAGCAGCAGCTCCAACTCCCGGGTCCTCAGCACCAGCAGCAGCTCCAACGCCCGGGTCCTCAGCAGCAGCAGCAGCACCAGCCGCAGCTCCAACGCCCGGGTCCTCAGCACCAACAGCAGCACCAATGTGTAGGTCCTCAGCACCAACAGCAGCACCAGCGTCCAGGTCCTCAGCACCAGTCGCAGCTCCAACGCCTGGGTCCTCTGCACCAGTAGCAGCACTAGCGTCCAGGTCCTCAGGACCAGTCGTAGCTCCAACGCCCGGGTCCGGAGTACCAGAAGTAGCTCCAACCTCTGGGGCCGCAGCACCAGCAGCACCAGTAGAGCCTCCAGCACCAGCAACACCACCAGCAGCAGCACTGTCCGCGACACGAGGCACACCACTCCGAAGAGTGCAGCGCCGCTCGTACCACTCACGGATCCGCTCACGGGAGGGGAGCTCCCGACTAGGAGGAGAAGCACTAGCACCAGTCCCAGTAGTACGCCTGGCTATACAGGTACCTCTCCTGAGGCTGCAGTACTGTAAGTACCACTCACGCAGCTGCTCCGAAGAGAGGGCTCCTCCAGGTGTAGGACTACGAGGCTTAGCACCTCCAGACTCAAAACCCCCAGACCTTGGACTCTGCAGCTCAGCAACCCCAGGCTCAGCACCCCCAGGCTCAATACCCCCAAGCTCCGCACCCCCAGGCTCCGCACCCCCAGGCTCAGCACCCCCAGGCTCAGCACCCCCAGGCTCAGCACCCCCAGGCTCAGCACCTCCAGGCTCTGTACCCCCAGGCTCCGCACCCCTAGGCTCCGCACCCGTAGTAGGACGAGAGTCGACACCTACCTCAATAGACTCAACCGGGTCTACCTGAGACACACCTGAGGGGGCGGCACCCTGAGGGGGGAGGGGGTCTACGATAGCAGCACCTGGCGCGAGGAAGAGAGGCGGGGGGGGGAGCGGGGCAGTGCGGTAGGGGAAGAGGCGGTAGTAGGGGACGGACTCGTCAAAAATGACGTCCTGAGAGGGAAAGACTCGGCGCGAGGTGGCGTGGTAAAACTGCCAACCAGGCGCGTCCGGGACAAAGCCGAGGAAGACGCAGGGAACAGCACGGGAGGAGAGCTTGTCCGTAGAAGTATCGCGGACAAAAGCTCGAGATCCCCAGACCCGGAAACGCGACGCATCGCCAACCTCCCCCGTCCACATCAGTGTGAGCGAGGTCTCCGGCAAGGAGTTACGGGGCCAGAGGTGTCAGATTTATATAACATAGCTGTTGTAGGCTATAGTGGGGTAGCACATATGGGGTACAGCTTTCTAGGGTTGTATTTGTACCCAACTTTCTCTTAGTCATTTCATTCTCGTTTCAGTTTTCTCATGGTATCGAGCAAGTTCCCTAGTGGGAACTGAACCTAGGGCCCACCACATCGAAAGTTTTTTTTTTTTTTTTCCTGCCCGGAGCGCGCTCAATCCGAGTCGCGCTCCTCTCTCTCCTCTCGTTGAGCCGCCCTGGCGGCCCCATCGCCCTAGCGGCCCCATTGCCTGAGCGGCCCCGTCGCCTAGCCCTACGGCCCCGTCGCCCTAGCCCTACGGCCTCGGTGCCGCCCTGTCCCGGCCCCGCCGCCCTTCGCTGCGGCCCCGCCGCCCTTCGCTGCGGCCCCGCCGCCCTTCGCTGTGGCCCCGCCGCCCTTCGCTGCGGCCCCGCCGATCGTCGCTGCGGCCCTGCCACCCTTCATTGCGGCCCCGCCGTCCTTCGCTGCGGCCCCTCCGCCCTTCACTACGGCCTCGCCGCCCTTCACTGCGGCCCCGCCAACCTTCGCTGCG